GACGTAAGCAAACCAGCCCTTTTGGCGTTTCTGCTGGGGCCGTATGCTGAATGTTGGGAGGGGATGGGGTCCCCGACGGTCGACGGACTACTTCAACTCGGTCCTTAGAACCGCCAATTTGGTGCTTACCTCAGGAACTAAGCCTTAAAGAGAGGACGGGTGCGTCCCTCTCTCCAAGGCTTAGTCCTGGGGTAAGCAAACCAGCCCTTTTGGCGGAGCTGCTGGACCAGCTGCACCACTTCGTCATCACTCTCCTACCGTACCGACCGAGTTGAAGTAGTCCGTCGACCTCGGGGACCCCATCCCTCCCCAACATTCAGCATACGGCCCCAGCAGAAACGCCAAAAGGGCTGGTTTGCTTACCTCGTCCTGATCGCGATCTAATGTGAGAGGGCTCAACGAGCAGAAATAGGCGCCAAATGGCCTCAGCGTAGAAAAGAATGTTACGTTCATAATAAGGACATCAAAAACCTCTGCATACAAGTTGACAGCGAATTTGGTGAAAGCAGCCATCGTGACAATGTGGCGCCAACGAGCGCTAGTGCCAAAAACGACTGACATTTCCGGAATCAGCATCAAACCCCTTTGAATAAAATTTCAGGGAAAAACACAATTTTGAATTTCTGGGATTGCAATGGTTGATTATGGCCAATAAGTGATCGACATAACTTCACCTGATGATGAAGGGTCAATCCAATTCAAGTACGGGGGTCTTAGGAGAAGCGAGCGCACAAACCGTGTCGTATTTTTTAAGGAAAAGGAAATAGAGTAAAACGCAAAGGCAAGATATGACTAGAAGAACAACAGCCACAGCTACATATTACCCATTGTCGGCTAGGGCTGCGGTTTAATCTAAAATCTCTTACGATTTACGACATGGCTTGGGGCGATCTAAGCAATTGGCCCTGTCTTTAGCTCGGTTGAATAGGTCCATTAAAAAACCCATTGGAAACGAAGGCAAAGCTAGTAGTGGTGCATGGATGAGGAAAAAATCATGGGAAAAAGCGAACTCGAGAAATGGGTCCACTTCCTTGCCGTTTGGTTTCCGCACTCAAAGCAGAACTCTCATCAGTGGTGTCCTCTTCAACCTAACGCTTTTGCTACCCAATCGGTGCCAGGGGTCAGACGACTGATGAGGGTGGGAGTGCAGTACGGCAGAGGCGGCGCGGGATATTTGGCGTAATTCCTGCAATGTAGTCGAGGACATACCCTTCGATGAGGCATGCGCATTTCCCCGCACCCTTAGGAACCGCCTGCCTTTTGACTTGGTACAGTTGCCCTTAGTCAGCCTCTGACTTCATTGTGGAATCCTCATTTATTCACACTTCATGTCTGGCTAGGCTTCTCATTCTACCTTTCCTTTCAAAAAACGAGAAGAGCGTCGGGTGCAGAGCATACACCACAAATGACGACGGCTTCCAGAAATGTAGATGTTTTCTGTAATGAAATGATTAGGCCTGTTGCAGTTACATTCTATCAGTTGTCACTAATTACAACTATCATTTTACCGAAAATCGGCTATCACGATGAACCAGCACTAACCAGATTTACTTCCAGAGGCCAGCGTGACTTGTTAGTTGTACGGTCTGCGCCGACACTCTTCTCGTTTTTTTGAAAGGGAGGGTGCATTATCTCTCAGAAACTATCCAACAATAGCATATGTATAGGGTGATCGACATGGAAAGGAAGTCCGATATTTTATTCAAAAACTTGAAATTTTTCTATCACTTTCAGCAATTTTGCTCTCTGGATTTTACGGTCGTCAGAAAAAAAAAGATGTCTACCAATAGTCACCTCCGACAAATAGTCCCCTTACATCTGTAGGTGAAGGGATATACTAATGCATTTCAGGTAACCAACTACTTTGAACGTTCCCTGCTACCATTCCGCCCTGCTATGCTTACACTCAGAACGACCTCCTCTTCTTCGAAACCACTTCGCAGCGAAGCGTCAGAATGTAACGTCTCTCTCAAAATCAGTAGTATAAAATTCCCCAGCATATTTTTAGGTGTACGCCAGTACTTTCCAAACCGATTACTCGACCCGAATTGCATTCTATCTGACGAGCAGAGGATTCTGATACGCCCGAAGCTACCGGAACATCCTCAACGAGTTCTTTTCATCAGAACTGCACCTAAATCAGTGGACTACAGGAACTTTATTCGAGACACATGGAAAACGCAGGTGAGACCAGACGAAATTTGTGATATAAAAAAGAGAGGCTCTGAGGGCCAACTTCGACGCCGACGATTCAAAAGGCATGCAGAAAAAACTGAACTACAGGGTGGTCCAAAATTATGAGGACCGCGTGCGCGCGCGGTCATATCCACTTTTTTCCGAGTCGCTCCATTTTCATCTCCTTTTCTGTGCACTATGTGAGAGGGTACAATGTCTTCTTCCTAATGAAAAAATTTCATGCAGTTCTCAAAACTAGTGAAATAACTACATCACCTTACGTCAGTCCTCAAATTGAACTCACTAGGGGCTCTGGCACGTTGCATCTAGCGAGCAGTCTAACGAATCAGGGAAGCTCTTATGAGCAACAGTTCAACTCTTCAATAAGTTTGGAACCACCACAGATGGAAAATTCGGGGACTCGAAAGTTTAGTCTTCAATAAGTTTGGAACCACCACAGATGGAAATTCGGAGGCTCGAAAGTTACAGTTACCACCAGGATAATTATCAGATGCAGAAACTAGCTCTCCCCTTGTCGACTTTCGTACTCCCAAAATGAAAAAATCGATGTGAAAACCCAGCCAGACACTCTAAAGGCTCCACATCTGTAGTGGATAGGAAGCTTTTTGAGTACTATACTTGGAACTTTTACAGGACCAAGCACCCAAGAATAGAGCGAAAATCCCCTAAAAAGCGATTTTTCGAGTTCCTTGCTTTTGAAGAATTGTTACATAGGAACCTTTTATCTTATATCACTAGACTTCTGTATTTTACACCCTGGAGGCAAGTGCAAATAAATGCCCCACAAAACTTCGATCCCCTGAAGAAAGCAGAGCAGAGGGCCTGGAAACATTTTGAGTTTGCGTGTCAGCGCACGCGCCATCCCCCTTCATCTGAAGGCTCGTGTAACGCGGCAGGTGGCAGATCTCAATTCTATTCTGGATTACTTTGAGATAAGAGTTGCAAACACTTCCCTGAAGTTTGTTTGTCCCATCAAGCAACTATGCGTTTTTAACGACACAATGTCTTGGTCCTCATAATTTTGACCCACCCATATAAGCGACTCGTGCACGGAAAGGTTATTTGTTTTCCGTATAGACGTGTCACGCTTGGTTATTTCAAGACAGCATGCCTAAAGGGCGGTGCGATTTTGATGACGTCATTAGGTGGACCAAATCCCTTAGCGCGCTAGGGTGTGGTTTATGCAGCCTCTCAACTCGCTCCCACCAATCAATGACTCAGTCAATCGATGACTCGGTCCCAAATTCAATGACGTCATCAAAATCGTACCGCCCTCCTGCCATCGCGATCGGTACCTTTAAGTCCATGTGCAAAATTCCGAGAGAAAATAAATTTCCGAAAACAGTTGGGGAAAAGCTCAACTCCTGCACAAAACTTATGGATTTTACCATGTACATTGAAAATTGATAGGTAGATTCATTCGCACCTGTTGTGTTCGTGTGTGCAGCCGGCAATCACGACGTTACAATGGAAGCTAATCAATTCGGAGGTAAGAATTTCAATTACAGATTTGTGAAGGACTATCCGGGAACTGTAGCTCTTATATGCAGACATGCTACAGTTCGACTTTATCGACTCATATCATAACTTGTCATTGAAAATGATGGCTATTTATCAATTCGTTTTGAACGAACTACCTACAGTCAACGATATTATTGTTACAAATGACGATACCATAGTTAACGCTACTGCTTTAGCACAGGTACTGTTGTATTGAAGAACACTTTCTTATATATTGCATGAATTAAAGGCAGTGATCACGTCGATACGGTGATACGCTTCCGATAACGTCATTGGTGAACGGGCGTTAAAGGCAAAGTTCGGGCTCAGACCCACTTAATGAGCCTTTACTGGTGGCTAGAAGCGCTAGGTACGCAAGTGCAGAGGTCGCGTCACTTCCCTACTTCGAAAAGCGTTACTTAGACGCTAGGCGCTAAGAACTTTGACACGCTCCACCTGTTGCGACACGCTCCGCCCACCGCTCGATATCTTGTCTGCGTCGCAACTTGATCTGCTATGCTCTCTCTACTCGGACTTCTCTACGCTCTCCGCGCTCACATTATCTCTCATCTCCCTGCCGGCCTTTTGAACTTCTCCGCAGCGTAGAGCAAAGGCTCGTATTTCCTGTGTATTTCACGATTTTTTTCCTTTTTTCTCCACTGGCGGTCCACCTCCCACCCTACTTTCACATTTGAGTGGAATTACCCATCAATTTAATCCTGAGTCTTGCCTTAAGAGATGGATCCAACCACACCCCTTCCGCGCGGAGGCTTCTAGTCAGCCAATGATGTTTGAGGACGCCATCAAAATCGCAGCGCCCTCCAACGATCGTAATCACAGCCTTTGAAAAAGAAATGTCTCAAGGCGCCTGAATTCCAGGTCTTACTCACAAGAAGAACTGGTTCTTGGATGTTGGGCAAGGTCTCAAGAGGCTACCCCCGACTATTTATGTCTTGGTTGACGTGGTACGTCCCCGGTGATATGTACACAAGCTTATGTTACCCTCGTTTCACTCAGGTAAGCACTGATAATCGAATGAAGCAACAAATTTCTGAACTGATTTGAAGCTTCACTATTTTGAACCAGACTTCAATTTAATCTTTGTATTCGGTAGCCAGGTGTGTCTTCAATGCAGAAATGAAAGGGAAGAATGGGATGTAAAAGTTTGAAATGAGATCTGTACCACATGAAACGTCCCGAACTCGAATCCATCTACCATATCTGCTAGAGGACGCTGCGAACAAGTGTATGAAGGTTTTTTGCCACGTGTACCGCGATGGCCAACCGTCAAAGTATCCACGATAAGGTCAATAGTCGAACACGGGTTTCATACCTAATGGAAAAGAGGGCCCTAGGTGTGCGGGACGTTGCGCGTTTTGCAGCGAATAGTATGGCCCCAGCGGTCTAGTAGGGCCGTAACCACGCAGCTGCCCGCCCACCTCTCGCCGTCTGACTCTAGCCGTTAGCAGAGAGAGCGTTAGCGTTGAAGAGGGCAGCACCGATGAGAGTCGCATCAATGCGGAAATCAACGGGCAAGGAAGGGGTCCCATTCTCGGGTTCTGGGCCGTTTCTCATGGTTTTTCTTCATCCCTGCACCACTGACCACCTCTTCCTTGATTTCCACTGGGCTTCCTTTCCATCATAAACTCCGCTTCGAATGGAATACGACTTTCCATGCAAAATGATTCTAAGATCGTTCCTAGTCTACCAGTATTTTCAGCACACCCACGCGTATGTACAGATCTTAGCAAAAAAAAAAAATCCAACTTGTTTGGTGGGCCGAAGAAAACTGGGGGTATCTATGCCTAATTGTGTAGAACAGTCCCATCTCTTCACATGCAGCAATTTTCAGCATTACTTTAAAGACACGAGCCCGAATTAGGAGCCAAATAGTCTCTCCCAGAGTGAGAAAGTGGGGTCACAAGCGCAGGAGCGAGTGGCGAACACCTATCGTGACTCAAAATGACAGGCAATAGTGCTCAAGCGCCTTGCTTCGTTTGCCTGCGTGTTTGCCAAGCCTTATTAACCGCGGCATAAACGTGATGCCTGCGTCCTTTCGCGTACAATGTGCTCTCTTCGCTTTATCCCCTCTCCTCGCACCGCCTGTGATCTCTTAAAAATCAGACTCCACAAACGCAAACCTCAGTGTTTTTCTATAGGTCGCATTTTACTCTCACCCCCAAACGCTTCCCCGTGACACTTCTTGGCTAATTTTGAACAAACTAACATAGCAACTCAATCCCGACCTCGTCTTTAATGGTTTCTTGATCATGCAAAAACGATTTCAAACGTACAGAGAACGTTTTTGATAAGATGCAACTGGTTCACATCTAGTAGCGTCCCGCTATTCGTGCTGCACCTCGAGGCCTGTTCGCACCAACATAAGACCTCAGTGAATGTGCAGCGAATCGTTCAGCAGCTATGGAAAACAGATATAAGACTTCGTTCGATAAGCTTACAGGGGTACACATCCATCCCGAACGTCACCTTGATCGAGTAATATAAATTGTTCTAGTCTACTAATATTTCAGCAACATACCACCCGAATGTTACAGATATTAGCAAAAAAAATCCCTTTGTTGTGGCGAAGAAACGACACCTGGGGTGTCCATGCCTACTGTGCAGGACAGTCCCAGTTCTTCAAATACAGCAATTTTCAGCACTATTTAAAGACACGAGCCCGAACTAGGAGCCGAGAAGTAGTCTCTCGTAGAGTGGCGGAGGTTGAGAAATGGGTCACAATCCAGACGGCGCGACAACTATCGCGACATCCATACAGAGCAGCCAAGGCTTAAAGCCTGCAATTGAGCTGCCCATACTATTATCGCGGCATACTGGCATCCTGCGCCCTCCTCGCATACAGTGGTTCTCTCCTTCCCTCTCTTCGCAGCGCCTGTGTCTCGCACAATCAACCTCACAAGGGGAAATCTCAGTGTTTTCTATGGCGCTTTTTGCTTTCTCCCCAAAAACCTTCCCCTTAACACTTCTTGGCTAATTTCGAAGAAACTAACATACCAACTCAACCCGACTCGCGTCCTTATTGGTTTCTTAATCATGCAAAATGTCAATGTACAGAGAATGCTTTTGATAAAATCGAACCGTACACATCAGACAGCATCTTTTCCCGATTCGTGCCTGAACTTGACTTGTTCGGCACCAATGAAAGCTGCACTGATTTCGTAGCAAAATCTTCAAAAGAAGATATGGAATACAGATATAAGACCGGCGTTCGATAAGCTTACAGGCGGTACACTCCGTGGTTACTTTCACCGAGAAACCTTCCCATTTTTCAACATCTCATGGCAAAAAAGGAATACCAATCGTAATCAACAGCACCAAAAATCAACGCAATATTTTTTTGAAGTCCTAGTCACGAGAAACAGAGATTCTGCAAAACAGCAGGAACACATGTATCGTTGCAAAAATCAATGCCAAGTATGACTTTTGATGCTTTGGCTAATCTACGCTGCGCCTTTGTGGTGCTTAGTCTGCATTGCGGACACACCTGTTTGCAGAAATCAAGGGGAATATCCAAACACTAACATATATCTATCAGCTACGGATATTAATCATTGCAACTTACAGGGATCATCATTCATCTTGTCACGGAAAGCAGCACAACTACTCAATGAGAACATTTGTAAAACACCATTTGTACACCTTGACGACATATTAATGGGCAAGTCACCTTACAACTTCTCAGCATTACTAATCTCATATTTGCCTTTCAGGAATAATCGCCTCCTGCACTCGTTTAGACCTACTGCACCATGAAGGCTTTGATAAGAATATCTTGGCGGATTTTATTGTATATCACTATCAATATTCTCGCCATTCCCCTCAACATCTCCGCCAACTATGGAGCTCAATTTCACAAAAAATTGAATAATAAAATGTTGGTCAAGATCTATTTTGATATGATGAAAATAGAAGGGTATCAAAAAACTGATTCATGCAACCGTTAACACCTGTGATCACCTGCACAAATAGGTGAGAAAATTTGACGCCAAAAACATCAAACTTTTATCTTCTCAACAACATATCAAAATAACAAAAACCATTTAACGGTTGGACTTAGCCACACGCTCAAGTTCGTCTTTCTTTTTAATAGCGTAGCTGTTCGAAGATCCCTTTGCAGCATTGATGAGTTCATCGGAAAGACACTCGGCGATGGTCTTGATATTGCGGAAAGCGGCTTCTCGGGCGCCGGTACACAACAACCAGATGGCCTAAAATAAAATATATATGAGGAAAAATCGAATGGTGTAAAAGTGAGATCGGTTTCAATTGAGCATGCAGGAATATTGAATCGCAAAAAGGTGCCATAGAATTAATGCAAGGAGATTTCAAAAAGCCTCCCGGGAATAACGTGAGTAAATTCATGAGCACTTGGCACACCGCAATGTGTACAGTACAAGGGACAGGTATAAGCTGTAAACTATCAAAATCACTGCGCCGTTGCCGCGATCCACATGCCCTGACCCACACCAACCAATCAAGTTGCTTGGTTTGAAAATTTTTATATCCCTATCCCCTTCCATTCAAAGTACACGTAGCACTACCGTACTTAATAGATATAATTCAAAGCACTAACTCTTAATCACTTCACGTAAAGTGGGACATAAATTTCAAGAAAAATCTTGAAGAACTGTAGCATGCCTTGTGAAAACGTCAGCTACACCAATGGTCAATCGGGGAGGGGGGGGGGGTCAGCAGGCTTTCTTGCAAACATGTTTGTCATGACTTTTGCAATCGCATTCTCGCTAAATCTCTTCAATTCCTATTGCTCGAGAAATCGTCCAATGTTTTTCGAATGAACGACCCTAATCGGTGCTCTTCGGGAATCTTGAGGGTCACTAAGTTCTGTGGGATGTTAGACAAGGGACAACTGGACGATACGAGAACGCACAGCCTTTGATCATTGGTAGAAGTGGGGTTCCCGCAGCGAAAAAAGCTTGGCGCTGCCAACAAAAAGTCGCGTTCTGTAAGAGCAACCCCGTCTCTTAGCGACACAATAGAAATGCCAACTTGGAGGTAAACCACTGGATAAAATCGGTGGAAATAAATCAACACCTTCGACAATGAACGTACAGCATTATCCCCTTAAACACTGTTATACAATAGATACACACTGAACAAACAAACCTGATTAACGCGGCGAAGTGGGGCCACGTCTACGGCTTGTCGACGAACGGTACCCGCTCGTCCAATACGGGTGGAGTCTTCACGAGGACCACTGTTTATCACAGCGTTCACTAATACTTGTACAGGGTTCTGAAACAACATAATTAAGACACTTCGAGGCACATTCTGATGTTTTCAAACACTAATTTCCAGTCAATGATTACCCACGACGACGCACGTACTAGTAATCGAGCCATCGCCTGAGTATAAAGACCACCCCTCATCTTCACTTGCCCTCCAATTTCATCTTTCTTTTTCATTCCTCACATTGAGCTCTTCGCGCATCCAGAAATAAACTCGCCGCAGTCCGGCTCTCATGTAGAAAAGCATTTATCGAGTTCAGTGCGCGAAGGAGGTGCCATGATAGGAGAAACCTTCGAGAATCTAATATCACTTCCACAATATTCCCATAATACTAGCTGAACGCGACTATCTCTCCTTCAGTTCCCTTCAAGCAAAATTTCACTCGTACTTCCACCAAGTCAACATTGCCTTTTGGCTCGCGAGGAAAAAAGTCGCCAACACGGAAGCCTGACGTCCAATCAAGCCTTTCATCTCTCAGCTCTTTCGGCTATGTACATGGAATTTTATTTTACGAACTCTTTCGATGAGGAAAAACAATCAGCCAAGTCAAACAGGGAAGGGCACCTAAAGGGGCAAAAGAGCATCTCGTTACAAGCATCGTGGAAATGACGAACTTCGTGATTGCGGCAGGGTGGAGCAACCGAATGCAAAAAGATGACATTTCATGAAGTTACTAGGGAGATTGAGCGTATTCCAAAAATTTGGAGAAAGTGAATGTGTTCGTGTGTAAGTCCTGTGGAATGAGTGATGGATAATCCAAGTAGGAAAAATCCCTTAGGCCGCCATGCCAAAGAAGTTGTTATCTACGGGCGTCAGAACACTAATACCTAACTTCTATATTTGCTGAACGACCCTGAACAAGGTTACCAATGCCACTGTACCGTTTCGTATGCTATCGCGAAGCGCCTCACAGGCGAAGTCAGGTGTAACCAAACCGTGGCACATAAGCATTCATTTCTCATCTGGGATCAAACTACAAGTGGTTCGGCAATATTCTGTAAATGCAGCGCTACGCAAACACAGCCAATGCAGACGTGAATTGACGCAAATCCGCCAAGACAATACGCTAAATCGAGCGAAATGATTGTGATCATTGATCCCGGAAAACGAAACTTGCAATAGCAGATTGAGGCCAAGACAATGGATAAGGAGATGCTCTACATTTTACGTTTCAAATGGAAGGCTGAGTCATAACCAGGCAGGAACACACCAAAAGAAAGAACGCCAAGATTCACGGCAACTTTTACCCTCGCGAAAATCGTCGAGCAACGAACTCTGACTGAAAAACTGACCTCGCCAGTGAGTAAGTGGATGATCTCGAAAGCGTGTTTCACAATGCGAACGGTCATCAACTTTTTACCATTGTTACGTCCGTGCATCATCATGGAGTTGCATAAGCGCTCTACGATTGGGCATCCAGCCTTGCGGAACCGCATCACCTAGAGAACATCAAAACATGATTACACTACCATTAGAATAAAGCGAAGAGGGAATGAGAATATTAAACTAAAAAGATACCTGATAGCGGCCAGCCGAATGAGGAAGGTACTTAGCGCACTTATCCTTGACGGCAACATAGTCAACGAGTGTGATATCTGATACATTCACATCTTGCAGTGACCATTTGCCGAAAAGTTTGACCTAAATTGCACTTTGACAGTAGAGAGCAACGTAACAGCTATACTTCCCTAGGCAAGGGCACTTCGCCCGAAACCCATTGAATGCCTTATGATGCTCAATAACTATGCCGCTCTAAAGTAAACAATTAAAATGAAAAATGAATTGAACATTAAGCAAATAAATGAGGAACAACTATGAGAAATATGTCCTTTTGAAATGTCTATTGAAGAAGTTCTAATTCAGCCTACAAATCTTCAGCACTCTTATAAAATGAGAACTAAAAAGCCATATCACACTGCTAAAA